TGTATTTGATTATAAATGAAAATAGCTACCCACTATTTGTGTTGATCGAAAATTTAGAATTCAGTTTGCAAAGCTATTAAAATGCATGTTATCTACTTATTTATTATTTATTTTATTTATTTAAACACATAAACATTTGTATAAGAAGGCACTAAATATATATGCGACACACTTCGTCATTCGATGTGTGTGGGGGCTGGAGTGCCACCCGGGCGCTCAAACCGAAGCATGTTATCCAACCACTGAATTAATATTTTTGGCAAACTGTACGTTGGTTATGATTAACTGAGTAGCTGAATCCATATTCTGATTTATTCCCCATGTGTGTTGATGTATACATTAAGGTTTATAAATACTGAGGTGTGACGTAATCATTGTTAAAACTTGTATTGAAGTATAGGTTTCTTTTTTGCAACCACCGTAAGTCTAGCTACATAATATGTTTTACTGATAGCTTTTTCAAGCATTCTTATCAATATTATATTATTTATTTTCCCTTTTTATGGGGGAGCAATATGAACTCTACTTAGGCACGAATCGAGTGATGAGGCAACTTAATGTTTGTATTGATTTATTAAATTTAACGGGTATCTGTTTTGTATATTTAACAGAAATAAGTGAAATTTAAAAATACAAACATTCCCAAACTACGCTCATCTATTGCATTGGGTAGAAGCGGTTTCAATTACTTGTGTGGTGATGTCGTAGTACCTGAATCTCCCTTAAAATTATTTTCGCTAGAGGCAGTGGACCTTTTGTGCTTCCCAACGTAGCTCATTTACCAGATACATATACTCGTGTACTTGGCTTCGGGACACACTTTAGTTATGATTAGTAATGCTACCGGTTGCTAAGACTGGAATGGATGCAAGGGGGTTCCAACCTCTAGCTCAATGGCTAGAAGCTATACGCCTTAACCGCTGAATGAACACTGCGTTTCCGATCGTTAAGATAATGTGGCCGAGTACGATATCAAGCCGTCAACATCACATTATCTTGTTTGTCCCATATTACTGTTCTGCCGTTTATACATTTATGCAGTGAGATGTCGTCTATGAAATTACCAAGCGGGTTTAGGATATATGATATTTAGAGATCACCAAACGACCGTTCTAAGGTGCTATTCGTAGTATAAACATCCAGTTCATCGACAGTGTCAGGATCGAACTTTTAGATGAATGTTGCCACTAAATAAAATTTATAACTCCTCTTAACTAACTGAAAAAAAGTAATTAATGTGAGATTATGAGATGTTACATAGTTAAGAAGAATCTCAATATCAGCAGTTAAGATACCTAAGGAAAAACATAATTGGGGTCAATAAAGTCGAAAATGTTGTCCATGATATTGGTGTCACTAATTTGGATTTGGTTAACTTATTGGTTTTAAGATATAATTGCATCCTTTTTGAACAGGATTTGGATACGAGATTTCATTTAATTTCATTCATATGTATTCTCTAGGTTCAAACTTATCATCGACAGCAAATCTTAGTTCAAGTGTTTTTGAACCTTTGAAGCCTATTTCTACATTCAGTGAGTTTTCTTTCCCGAAACCAGCTATTACATCATCGGCCAGTGTTCCTACTAGTAACCCATCATCGGTAGCTGAAAATGTAGTTCAGTCCGACAGTAGCAGACCGTTTACTTTTGGTTCAATTAATTCCCAACCCATTTCTACGGCTTCCATTTTTACATTTGGAGCGTCGACAGTGACTACATCCTCACTAAAACCAGTCTCATCCGTTAGTTTTGGATCAACTTCTATACCATCATTTTTGGGATCATTTTCCAACTCTGGACCTGTGTCAAGTAGTTTTGTCTTTGGTGCTAACGTGCCTAAACCTTCATCAACCATTTCAAGTGGTGCTTTTGGTCAGATAACGGGTACCACGTCATCGCTAAATACTGTAGCAAATAATGTTGGTTTGTTTACCTTTACATCCCCAATTACTAGTACTTCTGGCGTGTCATTATTTGGATCAAATTCTATTAACATCAGTTCCACAACTGTATCACTTCCCACAAACACGTCTGTATCTGGTTTCAGTTCAACTGCGATAAACCCATTACTTAATCCAGTGTCTACAACATTTTCAACAAACTCCTTTACTCTTGGAATTAAACCAGCAAATGTAACTCCTGCCAAAACTACATCTTTATTTGGAGCTAGTAATTCGATTTTCGAAACTCCTAATACATCATCATCTTTAAAATTCAATTTTAATCAGTTAACTTCTAGCGCCGCATCTAATGTAGCCATCACCAGTGGATTGTCGTTTGGTACGACAATTGTGACTACAACTGTAACTTCTGTAACGCCTGCTAGTACATTGTTTCAGTTCGGTAGTTTCAGTTCTAATTCAAAGGCATCTGCAGCTTCCGTTTCTCAACCGCTCTCTTTTGGTTCCTCAGTGCCTCAATTTTCGTTTGGCCAACACTTCACACCTGCATGTTCACAACCGAGCACCCTACCAACTTTGTCATTTTCCTCGCTTAATTCGGGTCCCATAACTACTACCACTAACTCTTTTCAATTCTCTTCAACTCCCGTATTTTCTAATATTAATCCGCCAACTAATTTTAGTGGCTTTAATTTCTCTCTACCCCAAACATCTACACCAAGTGTAATTACACCTCAAACAAATGCTTGTTTTGTTTTTGGTCAAACACCGTTAAGTACTGGCGTTGCTAATTCCAATCCATTCACTTTTAATACATCTTCAACTACTCCTCCATCTAATGCTACGAATGCGCCTCGACGTCGACCACTTTCAAGCAGACGCTCTCGTCGTCCATAATTTTCTTTGTCTATAATGATGTAATTATATTCTTATTGTTTTATCAGATGAAACATAAACTGGACAGTATTTTTTCATTAGAGTTATTGTGCTTGCACTTGCGTGTGCGCTTGTGTAAGCATTAAAAGATAAGCGTTCTAATCGGAACAAAGTCAAAATTCTTTGTTGTTAATTGCAGTTGTGTAAATGACGTTAGTTGTTTTCCGCTTATTTTTACGTGGTGCCATTTGAAACTATATACATATATTCTCCCTCTTCGAATAAATGCAAACTTTCTTAATGTGTATATGTAAAAACATATTGAGTTAGTTACTGTATATTCCCTATTTTCCCCTTTGGCTTTTATTTTCAATCCCATACGAAAATTATTCCTAACGTTTTTTGAAGAGGGGGAATGATAATACTAGTGTCACTACAAGCTGATATGTAATATATAATTACCAATTGCTATTATTATGCTTGGAAAAGATTAGTTTGTTTTTATTCATTTCTCATTTTGTTTTGTTTAACAAAATCATGAATACAGTGAGTCCGTATAGAAGAACTAGTGTTTTCAGTTAAGCATACAGTAATGTGCTCCGGTAATGCATTAAACTACCGATATTATAGGCCTTTTAAATAAGGGGGTTTTATGAAACTGTATTTTCCCGTGGATTTATGCAGTGTTTTGTTCACTAAGAACGGTGATCGATGAAAGAGGAGATAACCTTTTTATTGATGTGAAATATGTTCGATTTACCCTTTGTCCCTCTGACTTACGACCAATCGAAAACGCATTTTTCTGAACGCATGATGAGTCTACTTTTAACAAATACTGTAATTTTTCGAATTTGGTAACAAATTGTCATTAAAGCAATTAGTCCTTTTTATAAATTTCGATAAAGCAATGAGAAGACTGAGTTGATCTTATCAATTCCATCTTCAAATTATTATTACCTTAGTCATGTTATCTCATACGTCTATTGTGATATAACTTGTCAAAAGGGATGTTTGTGTGTGTGTGTGTATTGGATTCCCAACAGATCAAGATTTTGTTAGAGAACTTCAGTCGACCAAAAATGTAAAAGTCATAGACTTGATTACGCTTTAGTATTTTCAGTGAAAATGTAATGATACATAAAATAAATTTATATCTATTTATTTCGAAATAAAATATCTGATTGAAGTTCAAAATGAAACACTTATATATGAAGTAGACTAATTTCATTTTAGGTTATATTTTCTACATTAGAATGGATTTGATATAGATGAACAACAATAAGGGCGAAAAACATGCCTTAATTTGAGAATTAAGAAGTTATACTTGGCATTCTTCATTAAATGTATTCCTAAAAACATTGTTCTTTTGTTGAAATTTTTCTCTGAGCTGGGTGGTTTGATCAGAGAACAAAATTTCACCAAAAGCATCTACTTGAGTTACAAATCATCATTTCATTGTCATTTGTACTCTTCAGTGAGATATAATGAACTATTATTTAGTCAATTGCTGATGTTGGTAATAATCAGAGTCCAATGACGAAGTTTTGTTTAGTTTTAATTAGACGAACAGGTGGAACATATTAGGAGGACCTCATACAGTTGTTATTATTAAGTATGTATGTATTCGGCGGTCTATGCTCCACAAGGGGTAACAGGCGTAAGTAAGTAATTCGTATTGTTATGCAGAATTTTAAAACCGTATATGAAGATTCTATCTATGATACTTCAATTTATAATAAGCTTTATATTATTCGCTTTCAATATAACAATGCTCAGTTGTCATAAAATATCAGACTATGTTTCGTACTAATATCAAGTTCGTAGGTGAAAAAATACATTGACGTTTTTCTGGAAAATTACAAGGTTAATCATACCAACACAGGTATTTATGTGTAATATTAACGAGTGTCAGTGTTACATAATAATAAAGTATATCGACATATAGGCTGTACCAATTCTGAACATATCTTTCTCGTTATTATTACTATATATCTAACGTCAGAAAGCTACGACTGATCGTAGCATCTTGAAAACCTCATTATGTAATGCTCAGTTTTATTAGTTTTACATTCCATACCCTAATTTACTACAATAAAACGTATAGCATAATCTATGAGTTAGCTAATTTCTTTTTCTTTGTTGTTGTTGTTTTCATCAAAAAGATTGTTTACTCAAACTGATCACAATGTAGCGCAATTTTTAAAGATCACTAAAATATATATTACTAGTTCAAAGATTATATTTATATTTTTAAAAGCAATTTTGTACAAAATCTTATCAAATGAATATTATTCAAATATTTATTTGTAAATATCCTTTTCTAGGTCAGGGTTTTCTTTTTTTTCGAATATTCAAGATGCTGATAGGATCTTGTAAAAGAACTTTTGTAATACAGTCATATGCATTTGAAACATTTATGAATAATACAATGATCTTATTCATGTATGTAGATATATTGGATCAGTTAGTTTGATTGATCAATTTCTTTCTTTTCTTTTTCGGAGTTAATAAACTTGTTTATAATAAAATGGTATTAGTTGGCTGTAGATATTCACTAAAATTATAATTAGTTGTTTGATTTATACTTTCATTTCTTGAAACTTTCAATATTCGATTTTGTAATGTACATCTGAAATGAATTAAAAATTTGTTTATATTAGTTTGTAGTAATAGTTATGATTTGATTAAGTACAGTGTCCACCTTGAGAATGTCCACCTACATACTACGGCTAAATGAGGGTTATAAACCAGTATAAGGATTAATATTTACAGTTGATAGTTAGGGTTCATTACGAACTACCATCAGCTATAATGCCAATGTAGTTGTGAATCTTCATCGACTGAGATGGTTGGGCCACGTGTTACGTATGCCTGAATACCGAATAACACGACGCGCAATTCTGTTGACTAGTGTTGGACACGGTTGTAAGAAAGTTAGGGACTGCCAAACCGAAACATGGGATCAGTCTTTGAAGTCACTAACTTCTAATCTGAGTCATGTTGGTAGATGCAGACTACTTGGTTGGGGTCCACGTGACTATCGTAACCAGTGGTTGGAGACTCTTGGTGACATGGCTCAGAATCGATCACAAAGGCGTGTGTGTATACACTCTTTGTCTTCCCTTAAACCGTGAGATTAAAATTGTTATGTACCTTTCTTTCTACGAACTGATTCTTTCTCCCTGTATCATATCATTATATAAAATCTTTCTTTTATATATTACCACCACTGAATTAACAATTCTATGAACTCGATATTCATCTGGTTGTACTAATGAAGTATGGCAACTTGGACCGGCGCATATGTGTCTGGTCCTACGTTGTAGCTGACTGACTGTTAATGCCAAATGAATGAATGAATTTCGTGCCAAAATTCAAAAACCGTTATCGTAAATCTGATTGGTTCATTCATAAATTACAGTCTCGCTTATTGTTGCTTCGAATATCCGAAGTTGACTTTTCTTGTTACTAAAGTTTACAAGCTAATCATTGGTTTAAAATTAATTTAAAGGTAGTCAGATGTGGGTTTTAATATGTAAATTAAAAGGATTTTGATGATCTTTTTTGTATATTGCGATAGACTTAATAAAGTATATTATTTTTCTTGTTACTTATTTACAAAGGGATAATAGAGTGTTTCAAATGAATCATATGTTAAGCAAATATTTAGTGAACTACTTCGTTATGGAGTTGTGAATTGATTACTTATCTTCCATCCATACCTCGTGAGGTATATTTCAGCTTTGAAAGAAAACGGAATATTTTTCTCCTATAATGATATATAAATGACTCTCGAAAGTATTATATCTGAAACGTTCACTTAAGTGTAGACCTTGTCTCGTCTTTTTACTATCATTCATTGTTCATTATGGATATATTTTTTTTGTTTTTCTCCAGGTAACGCCTGGGTTTCTGAAAATTCATTACTTATTCATTAGTTATTAGTATGACGATTTGTAGTTTATCTATCATCTAAAAATTGCGGATTTACATTGATAACTTCATAATTGCATACCTCGGTGTCGTTTACCTGCAAAGTCTGCATAAAGGTAGCGACCCGTTTTGTTATAGTAGCTGGAACACTAGTTCTCTGCAGACAGATGAGATACAGTTAGGTGAGACCAAAATGCATCATAATTCTAGTTTTATTTTAATGGGACCGAAATACATATGAGTTTCCCAAGGAAACCTATTCATTGCATGTTCTTCGGAATGCTAATGACAGCTGTTGTGTTTTAAAGTGCAAAGACTGCATCATTTTGTAAACTACCTCCTTAAATATTGTAACTAGTGTCAAGGAATCGCACCTTGCAGGCCAACGGGATAATCAGCATTAGTTAAGTTTGGTTTTAAGTTCAACAGGAAAAAAGTGTTAGCTATGTCCAGAACTATACATGTAAACAATCGCATGGTAATTTAGAAACCTGTCACTCTAATTTAATATAACTTGTGGCTTAAATTTCGCCGACTACTAATTGATGAACACTGTTTTTTGCTTGCAAATCTATCTAATACTCGTGATTTATTTATACCGCATTTCCACGCGAATTAAATGTTTTTGAAACATTAGCCATTTCTCCATAAATCCTATTATAGTATGTATTACTGATTATTTTTAAGTAGTGTAGAATCTGAAACAAATTTATCTTCAAAAGTGCTTTGATCATATTTTTCATCGTGCTTAACTATTGCCTTTCATTGATTAGTTGTCTATAGAAAATGCCTTTGTTATTGTTGTCAATGTTTGTCATCACCTACAAATTAACACCACAGCATAATGAGTAGCACTCAACCACATGATTTATTGGCCGGTTACGTTTTGTATATAGAGAACGGTGATATCAGTAATTGCTAAGCAATAAAAAGAAACATCTAGATTTTTAATCTATGTCTCCATCAGTATGGTATCATCTCATTAACATTAACAAATTCATTATGAAAACAATGTAGAATTACTTTAGGGGAACTAGTAAATCAATGACCAATTAGATCTGTTGAGACGTAGGAAAGGTTTTGGTTTTGGTTGTTTTAATGAACAAGAAAATTCCAAAAATTCATAATGATAATGAGCACTTCATTATAGACAAGTAGAATAAAATTATGACTTATGAATCGAAAATAAGATTATTCGCCTTTTAAACCAGCTATTGAAAGTGGAATTAATGGATGAATTGACTAATGAACCTCTATGATGTAGATCAACCTAAGTGTCAACGGTTATGCGATCTGTCTAAGACCTACAAAAATAAATTGATAGTATTTTGTGATGAATAATTAACTATATTACAAGCTTACTTCACAGATTTCCTAGTTAACCGATACCACAAAGAAAGAGTTAGCCATGCACAACTTGTAGGATAGTTTTGATTATATTAACAAAATAGAGAGTAGCAATTTAAGTATAAAGTACATGATTTCACTTGAAAGAAAGTTTCTATTTACAAATGTGACACAAGAAGGGATTATTGATCGTATATACAGTTATGTTGGACTCTCCACAATGTTTATTGTTGTAGCTCTACAAAAGTCTCCCATGGGAGTTAATTGTATAGTGTTGTAATAATGTGTATATATTCTCCTAAAAGATTACTATCAACTACATCGCGTTGAAAACACTGAGTTGAGTCCTGGCATAAACATCTGGATCTTAAGTAGGAATTCATTGATTTTTTTAAAAATGGACCACGAGCTACCAATATTATAACTTCCTAACGAGATTAGTGGTGATATTATCCTCATATAAAAGCCTTAAATATACTCATGAATAACAACAAATGACTTTATCTATATAATTTCATTGTGGCAGTTTATATAGATTGTAAAAAAGTATCACCATTGATGCGTATAACTTAGAATAGACCAAAGGACTATCAAAATAAAATGTAACATTTAGTTCATAAAGTTATGGAATGTTGGTTTGAATTGTGTTATCAAATGATTAGAATATATGCAATAAATTGTTGAAGAACCTTAGTGATATGCCTGAAAATCAATTTCAATGGTACACTTACATGCATATTTCTATCATCTACTGAATCTTCAATTTTAATAATAATTTCTATTCCTTTATTCCATTCCTTTTTTTTGTTGGAATTATACTTTTGCACTATTATTGATGCTATGATTATTACTTATTTTGTTACTCCTGCTATCCCTCGTACAGAAGCATAGACTGACCGACAGTATTCTCTAACCAACTCTGTCTTAGGCAATTCCTTCAAGTTGCTATTTATCTTACTCATGTCTGCTTCTAATTCTCGGTGTAATGTGTACTTTGATCTTCCACTTTTTCGTTTCTATTCAGGATTCCAGGTTAGCGCTTGTCTCGTGATGTAATTTGATGATTTCCTCAATGTATGTTCTATCTGATTTCCTCTTCATATGAAAGCTACTTTGTTCTTTTCCACAGTAGGCTGTTGCTCATAGTGTCCGACCAACGGACAGTGAGTATCTTGCATAGAAAACTGGTTATAAATACCTGTACTGTTTCGATGATGATTGAAGTAGTTCTCCAAGTTTTAACTCCGTACAGTAGAAGTATCTTGACGTTCGTATTGAAGATTGTGACTTTGATATTGGTTGACAGTTGTTTTGAATTCCATATATTCTTCATTTGTAGAAATACTGTCCTTGCATTGCCAATTCTTGCCTTCACATCTGCATCTGATCCTTCTTGTTTATCGATTATGCTTTTCAGGTACGTGTAAGTTTCCACCTCTTTCAAAGTTTCTACATCAAGTGTGGTTGGATTAGTGTTCTCCATGTTGTATTTAAGGATCTTGGTTTCTCCCTGGTTGTATATTGAGATTTACTAATGCAAAGGCTTCTGCTACATTGATCGTCTTGACTTGCATTTACTGGTGTGTATAGGATAGGACGGCTAAGTGATTTGGAAAATCAGAATTGTCTAGTTGTATCCAACTTGTTCATCTTATTCCATGCTTTCCATCAGATGTCGAAGTCCTCATAATCCAACGATTATTACAATTAAACTGTAATTCATTTTGTTGATTTCTTTTTGTTATATTGATATGGTATAAGAACTTAGATCGCTGTATATTTTTTCTCAGGTCTTAAACTGATTATGATTGATTGACTACTTAAAAGGAATGATGTCCAACAGGGAGAAATATTGTACTTCACTTTAATTTTAAAAAAAAAGAAACACTTACCCATTTAAGTAATGCATTGCTAACTTTGCTTGTTCATGATCTGACATAATTACTAATGCTTTCATATCTTGTTTATCATTAATATTATTCATTATTAAAGTATTATTATTTTCACCATTTATATTTAACTCTTTATTAGGTAATAATTGTACAGATAGTACACTTGGAAATGCAGAAAATAATCTTAATATAATTGATTCATCTGTTCCAGGTGCTAAACCTTCAATTTTTAATATTGTTGCTGTTGTTGTTGATGATGATGATATAGAATTAGGAGGATAATGATTTGTTGAAAATAAGTCATTAGTTGGTGTTACCGTTGTTACCATTGTTGTTGTTGTCGTCGTCGGTGGTAGTGGTGGTGGTGGTGTTGGTGTTAGTGGTGTAGTACCATTCACATTACCTGTAATTACTGCATGAGTTGAAATATCATGTAAAAGTTTAGTTGTAGCTGAATGAATATCTAAATTTGATGTGAATGGATTAAAAAATAATGAGTCTACGATTGGAATAGATGATTTTGCTGAATTAACATGGTTATTATTATGATTATGGAAGCTATTAATCAAATTAAGATTTTGTTGCTTAGCTACATTTAAATTCATAGTTGTTTGACTAGTATTATTATTATTATTTAATCCGATTTGTGTATTATAATATTCTGGACAAGTTAATAAAGGAATTGTATTCAATGAAATATTTGATAAAACATTATTTGATTGTGGAAAATAATCACCAAGTGAGTTATTCGTTTGATATATATTATTGGTTAATTGATTTAAATTTGTTTCTATATTAGTTCCCAACCATGGTAATGTAAAACTAAAAATTTAAAAAAAATCAAAGAAAATTTTTATCAGAAGGGGTATTTTTTGTGTGAATATTTTAATATTTGAGATTATGAGTTAATTGAAGCTAAATCATCATGGAAAACTTGGAAGCATTGGACGGCTGTTTTGTTCTAGCAATGGGACTCTTCCTTGGCAGTGCGCATCCAAGATACAGCTTCGCGAGATTCTAACCAAAAGCCGTCAGTTTCGACCACTGAGTCAGCCAACATCTAACGGTGTTAATGTATAACTTCAACTAATTCACAAAGTTGAACAATACATCCATCATTATCTCACAGCAGACCTGGTTGAATTCCATTGGTTACGGCTTCTTACTAGAACTCCTGGAAATGCCTCAGAATGGTTTGAATCTCGCGAAGCGGGGTCGTGGATGTGCACTGCTGAGGAGTCCCACAATAGGACGAAACGGCCGTCCAGTGCTTCTAGGTTTTCTATGGTGGTCTAGCTTCAATTGAATCATGAATTCAACTATTAAATTACTATAATATTCACGAAACCTCTCTCTTATTATAAAAATAATAACCAATATAATAGCTTATTTTGATTTGAGGTTCGCTTTAATTATAAGTTATGATGTAGTGTAATGAAAGTTCTTCCTGAAAATAAATTGACCATTTAGAACTGTTATGCAAAAACTGGTGACAAATCTACCATAAATCAAGACTTATATTGTTCATTTTTCAGGTTATCAGGTAGACTTCTACGATCTACGAAATTTTCGTTTAATCACTTAACATAGTTTATAATTAGAATTTATTTACTGTTGTACAGTACAAATGACAACATGTCATTGACGCTAGTATATCATATCAAGATAATGTTTTGAATGAATATATGTTCAAAGTAATCTGTTATAACTTGTGGTCTTGTACCCCTATTAATATATAATGTAATGATACCGCCAATTAGAGAACAGTGATTTATCAACCGGGCCAACGACACGTAACCCCGTCAGTCAGTCAGCTACAATGTAGGACCAGGCATATATATGCATCGGTCCAAGTTGCCATACCTTTTTAGCACAGCATGATGAATACCGGATTCACAGAAGTAGTTAATTCAGTGGTGGTAATATATAAAAGAAAGATTGCATACAAGGATATAGTATAGGAAGAAAGAATTAGTTCGTAGAAAGAAAGAAAGAATTTACGGATGACATTTGAGCGAAATTAGGCTGATGTTGAGAGTGTCCATTTAATAAGCAGAACCAAATGAGGATCATAAACCTGTGTGAGGAATTATAATTGTAATTTACAATTGATGATTAAGGTTAGGACTTAGATTTATGGTTTTTATCACGAACTGACATAATCTATAATGCCAAAACTCTATTTATCCAAACGGATGAGTGAATTTCACGCCAAATTTCAAGACCTGTTATCATAAAACTGATCGGTTCGTCTTTAAATTATAGTCTCGCCGCACTCATCAATCGTTCTGCCTCTTTTTTTCTCAAGTTGTTGTCTTTATTGAAAAACAATTTATTAACAGGAAATTAATTAAGCAAAGTGGATATTGACTAGCAGTGGAATCAAGGACACGTGTTTCGTCCTATTTGGGACTCGTCTTACATCCCAGGTTTGATGTTCACTCTGGGACAAAACGCGCAGCAAACTGGATTCCACTGCTAGCCACTATCCAACTGTGCTTAAAAAAAGCTTGTGACTTAAGGCAATCTGCACAGAATGCACACATGCCAACATGGGACTGATCAATTGTATTCCCAAATAATAATGGGAAGATACAAGTAAAAGTAAAAATGAATAATTTGTCAATTACCCTATAACTCCTGGTAGTTGTTGTGGAATTCCATTTAATTGTGATAATAATTGTGTTTGTAAAGGATCTGGTTGATTATTACTATTATTATTTGCTGTTGTTGTTGTTCTAACTGCTGCTAATGCTGCAGCTAAAGAGATTGCAGCATTAATATTATTATTATTAGCATTAGCATTTTTTCCCATTAAACGTAATCCATTAGCTGAAGCTGGAGATGACGTTAAATTATTTATTGAAGTATGATTTATACTATCGAATGGATTAATACGTACCGGTATAGCACAACCATCTAATGGATTAAATCTGTAATGAATAAAATTGGTATTATTACTTTAATTATTAAAAAAATTAAAGGTTAATATATGAGTTTTAGTAAACATAAATAAACAAACGAACATGAAAATCTATCTTAATAGTCGATGTAGTGCCAATATTTTGTTCATAATAAGGATAAGAGTAAATCATTTGATTAAGAGCCGAGAATGGGAAGAGTCCGTTCTTTTTCCATCTCAAAATGCTCTTACGTGGCCACATGCATACAACCACTGCCAAGGAAGTCTTACTCACTGCTTTCTCGCGGCGGGAGTATTGTTCACCAAATTGAGATGACGTAAAGCGAATATCCGTCGCTTTAACTGGGTTGGTGGATACGGAGGATCCATCTAGGGGAGTTAGAAATCTCTGATTCAAAACCAATGGTGTGCGTGGGCTTCAAGACTCTGAAGAAACAAAAGGCGTATGCATATATATACCATGGGACTGCATCTCATCACGTTGTTCCACTGCCTTGTAGATTAGACCTTCAGGTCAAAAGCTTCAGGTATGACCGTCTAAGAAAACCACCTGCTTCTTTTTGGGCACTCGGGCAGTATCTCAGCCCTCACACAAATCGAATGGTCCATTTGGTGCCACCTTGTGCCAATGTTTATGTGTTTAAATAACAATAATAATAGATCAGTGATCTGATTTAGTCACGTTTCCAACAGGTAATTTAATATTACAAATTTATTTGGATAATGAACGTCAATAGTAGTGAAATTAAAAGACATTACATTACATCGTCTATTAGCAATTTGTTAACTATACATATACCTCTAAAGTAGGGCCAAAAATATGCGTGTTGTTTGAGGCTTAAATGTACTGTGTTGTATGCTGCTTTTGTCGACAGATATAAGTAGTGTGTCACACCAATAGAAAGTGGAGAGCCTGGCAGCAGAAGGTTGAGAAGATAGAATAGAAGAGAACGAGAACAGAGAATAGTTGGTATGGGAATGAAGAAACAATAAATCAAATGAAGAATTGAACTTATAGTTTTTACATTTTACCAAATAACTCTGTAAGGTTATGTTAAATTACGTTTGGTCGTCGCCATCTGTGTTTTCATTCGTTACAGTACTAATTACCCTCTTGAAAGTCAGATGAGTTAAATTCATATTCATGATACAATGGTTAGAAGTAGAATATCAGAACTTTTGAACCACAAGTACCAAAGTTAATATCTAGTTATATTGCTGGGTTATTGAATGATCATACAGTTTATCAGTAGTGTCTCCAATAAGTGAAATTAGCATCTCTTACTACAATATTAACTGAGTATAGTTTACATTTTCAACAGATAATGTATTACTACTAAACAGGTTAGTATCAATAAGCGTGAAAAGTAAATTAAAGACTTCTTATGTAGCTCATCAAATTCATCATGAAAGTTGGTTTTGACAAATCATCTGTTACATGTCGTTTTTCAAGGTATGCTTTTTATACAATTGATTAATCGTTGAGTAGTAACCAATATCGTGTTTATCTAGTCTTTTAGTGCTGATCGAATTCTATCGATCAAGTCTTTTATACATATAAGTGATCAGAGTAAAAAAGAACAAGATTAGTGTTTCTAAGATCACAAACTTTCATATAAATTGTTGATCCTAATACAATGCAAAATATTCTCGGAAGTTGAAATTTGGCGGAGGTATCAGTATAACAGGCAACATCTCGTTATAATCGTACTACGTAACGGTATTGTTGAGAACAAACACTCAGATGGAGACAACCAATTGTACTTTAACACAAAATTACAAAATTTCTTGGTAAAATATGACAACTATACATTGAATATTTCATTTGCGAATTTCCATCATTTGTCTTTTACATTCTGTATAATTCTTCTGACTCATAATTCGTTACTAACTCCATTTCTGTTTTTTTTTCAAGTCCACCTTCATAGCCTTCTATTGTCAGGTTTTGCTCTTCTGATTGGTGTTACATACTGCTTATGTTTGTCTACATTAGTGGCATATACCACATTATAATATATGAATTTAAAGAAAAAAATGGCCATGAAAATAAGTATTTATAGAACATTCTCATTAAGATCCATTTAATCTTTATGGGACCTTTCATGTTATTCTTGGATGAGATAGGAGAAGAATGACTTATATGTTTTCCACATTGGGTCGAAGACTCTCAATGATTATAGACCGTGAAAATATTTTAATACAAAATGCTCAGTTTTACACTTTAATTTTGACTAATAATTTGATACTCAGATTGATTTAATTGATTTGGTGTAAAGTAAGGCTAACACATTTTGAAACTATTTTAATAGATCATAAGCAAAGATGGATAGTAGCTAGCAGTGGAATCTAGGACACGCGTCTCGTCCTATTTGAAAGATTCATCAGGAACTAAATTCAATCATTTGTTTAAATCATAGTATTAGTCTATCAGAAACTATTAGGAATTCACAATAACATCTTATTCTTCTTTGTTGTTCTGTAAGTTTGTATAGAACATAACGTCAGTCAGTTAGTCAGTCAGCTACAACATAAGACCTGGCATATATATGCATCAGTTCAAGTTGCCATACCTGATTAGTACAGCAAGATGAATACCGGATTCACAGAAGTAGTTAATTCAGTGGTGGTAATATATAAAAGAAAGATTACATATAAGGATATAGTACAGGAAGAAAGAATTAGTTGGTAGAAAGATAGATATAGAGCGATTTTAATCTCATAGTTTAAATGAAGATAGAGAGTGTATACACCTACGCCATCATGATCGATTATGGGCCATGTTACACAGAGTCTCCAACTATTGGTTACGATAGTGGCGGAGACCCTAATGAAGTAGTCTACATCTACCATCATAGCTAAGATGCTACTATTTGGTTTGACCGCCCTTAACTTTCTTCCAGCCATCCCAAACAGTAGTCAGCATTGCGCGTCGTGGTAATTGCTGTTCAGGCATACTTAACACGTGACCCAACCATCTCAGTCGATTTAGTACAATATTAAGTTTATTCAACATTTTCTTTGTGAATTCATCTATTCGTAACCAGTACAATACATTTTGAAAAGATCTGAAGATTTCTATTTTGTAAGTTTCAATCAATACTATTAAATAGTTCATATAAAGGTGTTTTTTCCAACCATACAGTAAATAATCTCATTTTTATTTGCTTATAACAAACTAATTATTAAGGGTTCGTTTATCTTTATGCTCACATTTAGACAGACAAAATTCACAATTTAGTCATTCAAATCTATACACCGGATAAAATTTCATTTATCTGTTTCATAACTGAAGTGTTCAATTTCGGTTACCCGCCAGATGAGCTACTAATGAGTTCACCAGTGAAGAAACGTGGAAGTTATCCCTAATTATGCTTCATATGCATATATTTAAATGTAGGTATCAAAGATACTTACATCCCAGTGATATACATATTGGTATAGATGGGCGCGGTTGCTAGTATGTTGTACAAGTAATAATAGGAAGCGTAGGCAAGTTCACACCTCCCACAAACACACGTAGGCATAGAAGTTTGCACTTGTGAGTATACGATACGTGCATGTATAGAATGCATAAGCTAAGGCCCATTTACTCCGTAGTATACATATAGGTATAGATGCGAAAGCCCAGGACTTCCAATCCCAGAAGCACTTTTACAGAATGAACATCGAGTATTCAAATCAGTATTTAAGTAAGTCATCGTAGATGATGTGTTCACTTCATGCTCTTATGGCTTAGGTTCTGACCCGCCACTGCCAAACCTCATGGACCTCTCCAGACTAATCTGTTCAGACATCAGAAGGAAGTTTTCTCCAATTTCTCAGTCACACTCTCAATTCAAGTTTACCTTTCTCCTCATGTAATCAAAGTTTAGACAGTGTGGGTGATCAATCCGATCTCCATCTGACAGCGTAATGGTTTTTCAGTCCGGTCTCACAAATGAAGGACTGGTGATTTCCACGTCTATATAGAAATGTCAACACACTTAATACCATTCAGTCTAATTAATAACTTAATAGATTAAATGAATTTAACAAAAGATTATAGGTTACTAATCGATCATAGATTAGTGTAATGATGATTATAAAAATCCGCTGTTATTCATATTCACAAGAAAATAATACATTAAAGTAGACTTGCCGTAGTTTGTGTACAGCAGTTGGATGGATAGGTCCACCTATTCTTCGTGTATGTTTTCCACTACTTGAATCTGTTATTAATTGTGGTGTAGTTGAATTATTAAATATATCATAAGTTGAATCATTATTTAAAATTTCCGGGGTAATCATTGATTGTAATTCATTAGCTTTCATAGCTAATTTATTTAAATTTATTAAAGAGGATAAAGTTGTCATAGTTTGATTTTGATAATCCATATTTCCATTATTACTATTATGTGTAGGTGTTGATGTTGTTGTCATAATCATAGGATTAACAGAATTAGTTAAACCATTTTTATTTGATGTAGGAATATTAGCAAATTTCACAATTAATGGACTATCTGCCATTGATCCAACACGATAACCATTAAATTGTTGTATAGCTAATTCAGCTTCATGACGTTGATCAAAACGTATAAATCCAACACCTTTAGATTGACCTAGAAAAAAAAGATAAATCATAAATGTTAATGAGTTTTGATTTATTGTTTTAAAGGAATTGTGAAATGATGGTTGGTTTGGTTGTGGATTTTCATCATTCTTCTGAAGGATATCATCAGCACAAACTTCAGGTAGAAGTGAACAGAAATTCGAACACTTCACTTATACCTGAAGTTTGTGCTGATGATATCCTTCAGAAGAACGATGAAAGTTCCATGACCAGTTCAGAGAACAAAACTCTATCATAATCATCCATCTGACCTACAAATCTTCTCCACCATCTAAAGATTATTATTTCTTGGTTGAAATCAGTAAGACTTTAGATAATATTAATAAAAATGAACTAATGTATTAATCAATGAAAAAGAAATAATAAATATGCATACTTACCAGTATTATTGTCGAAAAGAATTCTTGAAGTGATAATTTTTCCACATGGATGAAATAATTTTTCCAAATCAGATTCGGTCATAAATTTTGGTAGACCACAAATGTACAAATTTGCACCTTTAATTGATTCACAACTGGGTCGAGCTAGAGAAACCTGTTGTATATGTTTTAATTTGAGAAAAATTATATATTTAGATATTATATGAAAAAATATATGAATATATAATTCATAGATTCTGTTAATCAGTCTATAGTCGAATGTCATTTGAAATGGTCTTACCTTTTTGTTATTTATTTCTTTGCCTACTTTTTTGTATTTCAGTAGCATAACTATATACCTATCATTTTCTATCCCGATACAGATAGGAAACTATACCTACTTAAAATCAGAATTTGTAGTTCTCTGTAAATGGATACCGTGTTCAAGATATAATTTAGGAGTTAAACATAAGTCATCTCTTCTTACTTTCGTACTTTTTAGCCACTGCATTTCTTATAGTATTTTCTGAAACAACTTACCCAGTACTCAAGTTAAAGTAACTCAGTTCAAAAGTGAATTCCTTCATCAATCTATTTAGTTTGACTTTCGATTCATTCTAAGAATCAAGGAAAGATCATATGTAAAACAGATAAACAATAAGGGAATATAATTCTATAGAAACAGTTTCAAAATGGATTACAATAAACAAAGCATAAGAATAAGAATGCTTGAACTTCGGTCTTGACACAAGTGTATTAATTCGATTCCTTTAGAAAAAAAAAAATCAAAAAATGTAATCAGCAAGATATATACGGTGGTAATTAAAAAAGGATCTCTCATTATCCCTTCTTAAGAATGTGCTCATCTTTTTTAAAATCTTAATAACTTGAAGCTAATCAGCTTCAGTGATATGAGATCATACATTTCAGTTACAAGTATTGTCTGTTGGGTTACTTGGTGTAATTCAAGGTTTCTACCATAAATTGGTTGCTACTTTATACCCATCTATTTACCCAGCTTATAATTCGTTCATTTAAACCGCATGGTTCTAGACACCTTATCATCAGTAATTTTAATTATGCGAAAAACGACAATTTTGAACTTCATCGTTTACGAAATTCAACAACCTCTACAAACCTCCCCAGACTGACGTGAACGTTTTTCCATCAGTAATGTAAAAGATTACGAAACAAATGCCATAGTTCAAATATCAACCCAATTAAAGTGGTTTGAATATTTAATATGACACATTTGTTGAGTACAGTTATATGCACTCAGCTTCTATCCACATTTTATGTGTATATGGTCTAATGATGCCAGTCAACTCACTGAATCGAAATTAACTAAAGTGAAATTGGTGAATGAAGTCGAATAGTTCTGAGTAGAATGCATCATTTTATTATTAAACTGTCTACTGGTTATTAACTTCTTATAAACAATTCAAATAAAATGTCGTAACTAAACGACGTAAACTAACTAATAATAACAATAATATTAATATTTGAGATTATGAGTCAATTGAATCTAGATCGTCATGGAAAACGAGGAAGCACTGACAGCCGTTTCGTCCTAGTATGGGAATCCTCAGCAGCTCGCATCCACAACCCCGCCTAGCGTGATCCGAACGCAGGTCTATCAGTTTTGTGCGTGAGCGCTTAACCATTAGACTACTGAGTCGGCCAGCATCCAACGGCGTTAATGTCTAACTTCAGCCAATCCACGAAATCACGCCACAGTCCACCATTGTCATCAGTGAGTTACTATCGCACAATGGACCTATTTGAACTCCACTGGTCACTGCTTCTCACTAGAACTTCAGGATATACATCTTGAAGCCAGTCACTAGTGAGCATAACAATATTATTCAGAATGAGGTTTTGTGGAGATTGTAGTAATTCTAATGATTGAATTCATGAGTCGACTTAAGCTAGACCACGACTGAAAACACTGTTGGATACCGATTCATTGGTTTAGAGGTTAAGCGTCTGTGAGCGAAACCAGGTATTCTGGGTTCAAGTCCTTTTGTTTCATAAACTTGGATGCGCTTTGCTGAGGGGTCCTATACGGCCATCCAATACCTCCAGGTAATCAACGGTGATCTAGTTTAGATCAACTCATGAATTGAACTATTAAGACAATAATAATAATAGTAATAACAGTTAATGAACAACTATTCACAAAACAATTATGGTGCTGAAATCAATCCTTATCTTGACTTCTATCTTCACAACTAATAATAATATAGTGTATCAATTAAAATAAATGAATAAAGTAGTATATTTGAATGAAAAAGTTGAAATATGATTCTACCCGTCAAATTAGTAAAGTGTATTAAGGTTTTCTTTATTGTTTTCTTAACTATTTATCTATCTGCATATCTACCTGAATTGTAATTATTATTTGTAATTTTAATACAGTACAGTAACATACAATGATCAAAGTAGATACGGCCCATAATAATAGTAATAATAATAATAATAACTTTGTTTCTATAGTAACAGAACAATAGTAATTATTGTAACAATCTGATCATTCTTTTTTTTAAAAAAAACACAGTTTTAATCAAACCCCTTTCTGTTGCTTAATCTTAGTGATTTATATGATTGTTTAATAGAAAATGATGTATATATCCTTATTTAAATATTATCTGACTCTATTGTATAAGAATAAAACAAAGGAAATTAATTGTACTACTACTACTACTACTACTACTACTACCACTAACAATATTACCATAGTGATATATTATATTAGATCCGAAGGAAATGAATTCCTCTCTCTCTCTCTCCATGCTTGTGTATATTTGTATAGGGAAATAAGAATTGTTTTTATAAATGGAATAGAAAGTGGATTTTCATGTTCTTATAATTAGTTATACACTATGTGTAGAACTAAAGTTGTAAAATTGGGAATTACTTGTTTGTTTTTTTTAGGAAAAAGATAAATGATCTTGTGTTTATTTATTTACAATCTCATCATAATTTAGGTAATATGTGTAGTGTATTGAGATTTAGATGGTGGTTGGAGGTCGAGTCACCTAGACTGGTGGCCACATTGCAACATGATCGATAGCATTCGATCTGGACTAATAAGGACTAGACACGCATGACATGGATCACCACCCAGTGATCAATCAATTGTGAGTAGTGTATTGTTGAATTCGGAGGTTATGTGTATAAGAAGGTAAATCTTACTAGATTTGTGGTGTGTTCTACTTATATTGATGTAAGTAGTATGTGGCGCGAGTTAAAGACGTAATGTCTGGCAGTAAAAGATGGGGGAAGATCAAGAAAGGAAGAGCGGGAACACAATGCAGTTTGTAAGAAAACGCATGAACAATGAAATGTAAGACAATGGATTGATATTCGCAACAGGAACAGTCCAGGTTGATATGATGAATTGATATTTTGAAGATTAACCATTTGCTATATGGTTTTTCTATTTTACCAAGTAACTCTGTAATTTTGGGATGAATGCGATTCGGTTGTCCTCACCTGTGTTCTCCTTCACTATAGATTGTCAGAATGATCTTTTGTATTAATTACAAATTTAACTGGTCATACTTCTTCAGTATTGTTAAGTATTTGTACATTACTTTTCAACTATCAAAGATACATTTGATACAGTTAAAATAAAATTATGAAAGGAATACATTTAAATGTTCTTCTAGATCTTTACTTATCTTTATTTATTATACAAGTCATTCATTGCAATATTTTATCAGTATAATATTGTAGAGATTATTGAGCTTTTAATTGAGATCATGAACGGATCAATGTTAGAATACCATTGAAAACCTGGAAGCACTGGATAGTTGTTTCTTTCTAGTATGCAACTCTTTAGCAGTACACTTACACAATCCCACACACAACACTCGAAAACAGGACCTTAGGTTTTGCGCATCAACGTTTAAACTTTAGACCATTGAGACGACATCCAACAGTGTAAATAGCTGCAATTGATCAGTCTCTTATTGATATATATATATATTCTATTCTATACGGATTGCCTATTTTATGGTGTAATGTGGTCTGTTTGGCTCGTATATAAACCAAGTATGTTTGAAATTTACGATTCTCATAGCTGAGTCGGAACTTGGAGTATATTACTATATTCATAGGTATATCAATGATTAGTGGATTTGGGTAATTGAAATTGATTTTCTAATCATTCAATTAATTATTTAAGAATTTAATAGTTGAATTTATGAGTCCATTGAGGCTAGACTACCACGGATAACCTGAAAGAACTGGACGGTTGTTTTGTGGATTATTCGAGGTTAGACATTAACACTGGCCTGCTCAATGGTCTAGAGCTTAAGTGCTCGCGTGGGGTCGGAAATCTCGTGAGGCGGGGTCGTCTATGAACAGTCCCATGCTAGGATGAAACGGCCGTCTAATGCTTCCAGGTTTTCGATGATAGTCTAGCTTCAATCGACTCGTGATCTCAACTATTAAAATATAGAATTTTTTCAGTATTACTTCTCTGTAAGTTTATATAAGTGTGAAATAAAATCTCTCTGAATACTTTTATCCAGTACAGATATTGTCCCTTTTTTATTTTTCAACTAACCGGGAAATATAGTTGTTTGTTTTTACTTCATTATTAAAGTTAATTGATGAATGATATATGACTTGACATTAAATTATCTATAAACCAAAACTTAATCTGAACATATATGGTATCATGTAGTGTATACTACTTAAGTCAAATGATATAAGTAGTATATAAGATCGATTAGAAGTGGAATTCCTGGTAGGAGTAAGTTCAGGAGATTGGATTGAAAAGAACAAAAGTATAAACAGAGAGTAAGTGTAATAACAACATGAATAAAAAAATGATGTACTTTGTAAGAGACAACTGATGGAAGATGTGAAAATGAAGTATTCAATGTATGATTCTCATATTTCACTAAGACATTCTAGTGTTCATTCACTTTAATAGGACTATAAGTATTAAAGAATACAAATAAATACAGTAAATATTCAAGATCGGACACGTAAAACCTTCTACATTAGCAAATCCATAACCTCCAAATATCATGGTGAGTAAAATAACTTTAAAAATACTCGTTAGGAGAATTTGAAGATTCCACTGTCCAAGATCGTTTAGTCCATTTCTTAGAGTATATGTTCAAATTCATTGTTCTAACACTTATATATATATATATATATATATATATATATATATATATATATATATATATATATATATTAGAAGGGGGTTTTGTGGATATTATAGTAATTTTAATATTTGAGATCAAAAGCCAACTAGAGCTAGACCATCATGGGAAACCTGGAAGCACTAGACGGCCGTTTCGTCCTATTGTACGACATTTCAGAAGTGCGCATCCACAATCCCGTCTCGCGAGATTCGAACCCTGGATCTATTGAGCTCAAACACGAACGCTTAACCTCTAGATCACTGAGCCAACGAGCATTCAATGGTGTTAATGTCTATCTACAAAATTGAGCGACACACTCATCATTGTCTTCAATGAGTTACTATCTCACAACAGACCTGGTTGTACTCCACTGGTCACTATTTGTTAATCTTGAGAGTAACTAAAACAGATAATTACTTACTTACGCCTATTACTCCTCGTGGAGGAGCATAGACAACCCACCAGCACTCTCCAGACAACCCTGTCCTGGACAATCCTTTCCAGCTCTTTCCAGCTGTTATGCATCCTTTTCATATCTGATTCTACTTTTTGACTTAATGCGTCCTTTGTCCATCCACTTTTCCACTTCCCTTCAGGATTCCAAGTTACAGCTTGTGTCGTGATATAATTTGATGATTTGCGTAATGTATGTCCCATCCATTTCCATCGTCTTTTCCTAATTTCCTCTTCATCTGGGATCTGGTTTGTTCTCTCCCACAGTAGGCTGTTGTTGATGGTATACGGCCAATGGATGTTGAGTATCTTGCGTAGACAACTATTTATAAATACTTTTACCCTTTTGATGATAGTTGTAGTAGTTCTCCAAGTTTCAGCTCCGTACAGTAGAACTCTCTTGACGTTCGTATTGAGGGTTTTAATTTTGCTATTGGTTGATGGTTGTTTTGAGTTAAATATGTTCTTCAGTTGTAGGAATGCTGTCCTTGCTTTGCCAATCCTCACCTTTATGTCTGCATCTGATTCTCCTTGTTCATTGATGATGCTTCCCAATTATATGAAAGATTCCACATCATCCAGAGTTTCTCCATCAATTGTGATTTGTTTGGTGTTCTCCGTGTTGTGTTTAAGGATCTTGGTTTTTCCCTTGTGTGTGTTGAGGCCTACTGATACATAGACTTCTGCTATACTGGCTGTCTTTATGTGCATTTGTTCGATTGTATGATAGGAGAAACGGATAACTACTACATATATTTCAAATCATCACAATACATTCACTTTATATCATTTTGATTTCATTCGATTTTATATAAAATAAAACTATGAATAACTTACCAATAAATAAAAAGAACATAATTAAATAAACTACTGAAATAAAAAAATCAATAAAAATAAGTAGTAGTTTATAAACTTTCCAATTATTTATCATTAAACAATTTGCAATCTCATATTGAACTATTTAAAAGTTTACTAATTTCCTAATAGTCTAATTATAGATGATTGTTAAAATGATTTAAAATTAGAGAGAAAAATAAAATAAAGAAAAATAATGATCATAGTGTTGCTCATTTTGAACTTTTTTTCACTATTTTTTTCTCTATCTTCATTATTTTCAAAAACAATCAAGTTGGTTGCTTTCTCTTTTTTTCCTTTTTTCTTTTTTCTTCTTCTTTTTCCATCTTAGTTTAATTTACTGAATAGTAGGATAATAGTTTTTTTTCTTTTTTGAAATATACAGTAAAGGTTTAGCTGGGAAAATGTAACAGTAAGATTGTTTCTTTCTTTATTTCGTTTCTTTTCTCTATATTTTGCTTGCTTTTCTCTCTTTCTTTTTTCTTTTCTTTTGTAAACTCAAATGTTAATTCATGCAGTATAAAGTGTTTTTTTCTCTTATTTAATAAATAAAATATGAACATGGATACATGAAAGTAAATGAAACAGAAATGAGCACATGAAAAACAAAAACAGAAAGAAAAAAAGAAGAAACGAACGAACAAACAAACAAGCAGTTTTTTTATATGAACTAAAAAAATAATGACAACAATTCATTATATAGATCATCTAAATTTAGCTTTAACCGCCCATTAATCGTTTGAGAAGATTGTTATAATCAACTTAAACAAATGTATTTATTTATGTGTTGATTAAATCTAGACCACCATGGAAAACCTGGAAGCAGTAAATAGCCGTTTCGTCCTAGTATGAGACTCCTGAGCAGTGCTCGTCCGCGACTCTGCTCTCAGGATTCGGACGCAGGACCCATAAGTCTTGTGAACAAACCATTGAGCCTGCCTGCATCCAAGGGTGTTAATGTTTAACTTCAACTAATTCATAAAATTGCGCCACTGTCCAACATTGTCTTCAGTGAGTCACTGCCTCACAATAGTCACGGTTTAACTCCATTTCTTACTGCTTCTCACTAGAATTTCAGGAAATACCTCTTGAAGCCAGTCACTATTGTGTGATATTAACTCAATGAAGACAATGATGGACATTGGCGAAATTTCTTGGCTTGGTTGAAGTTAGACATTAAAATTGTGTGATGCCGGCTCAGCGGTTTAGAAGTTAAGCGTTCGCTCACAAGATTAAAAAGACCTGCGTTCGAATCCTGAGGGCAGAGTCGTGGACGAGCACTACTCAGGAGTCTCATACTAGGACGAAACGGTTATTCAATGCTTCCAGGTTTTCTATGGTGATCTAGCTTTAATCGACTCATGAATTCAACGACTGAATATATATATCTTCATTTATTATAATTGATAAGCAAGTAAAAATTAATTTTTTCTCACTAGACTTATCAATGAATGTAACAGTAAACAGTTTATAAAAAACTTCCGTAACAGTACGTTAACTTATAGTAAGATAATTGATGTGAGAAAATATTTGTTGAATAGTTATATTGAAGTTCTATGAAATACAAAGGAAAATGAAATGAATTATTTATACAATAATATATAATCGTTCACAATCTATGAATATAGTCTTGTTTTAGACTTAAATCTAGGATAGGATGCAAAAATGAATTACTGATATTCAGTATGCTGAAGACTTAATCATAACTGTGGGAAGTCATAGCTCAGGTTCATTAAACTGGAGAACATAATAATAATAATAATAACAGAAATTATGAATATGGTGGGCTGAACACACCTTGATCGAATTCACTTGGTGTTATTTGCTTGTATCTTCCCATTGACTTAAGGTAATATCTAGACAATCCACGCAGAATGCATATATGCTAACAAGAGACTGATCAATTTCAGTCCTAAAAATCAATGAGAAGATACAAGCAAACAACACCATGTGAATTAAAACTTCACCCTATTGCACAAGCAGGTGGCTATCAGAACTCAATAGCTAAGTGGATAACGCTATGGCGTTTGAAGCAAACGATACTGGGTTCGGGTTCCGGCGTGAACATCAACTCTGGGATGCAGACACAAGCATCTGGCGAGTCTCAAATAGGACGAAACGTGCGTCAAACTGGATTCCACTACTATCCATCTACTATCCATCTTTGCTTATACACCTAGATCAAAGTTTAAATTCTATGAAGTAACCTGGAGTAGAGTATTCGGAAAACAGTAGAAAATGGATTACTTAAACAAGTTGTGTATAAGATAGTTATATTATTTTACTGATAACAATCTAACAAAGATATGATGAGAGATTTCATGTACATATTTGGGAAGATTTATTCATATCAAATATAGTTTGTTCTGTAAACTAATATAAACTGAAAATTCATTAGAACTCAAGGGAATACATTTTTGTTATCTAGAAATCGGGTTTCTTAAGATTCTAGTAAGGATTCACAACTTATGGAGTTAGAAAAATGGAAGTAAAGCTGTGAAATACTTTTTCTCGAGTTAATACTCATCCCATTTATTGAATCTAAACATTTTACGGTGTTAGTCGGAATAACTCTCATATGGGATTGGTAAGTAACTCATTTTGATATTTGGAACACACTATAATGGTAGATTAAAATTCCTTTCAAAGTTTATTCTTAGTAGAACATAGGAAAAGAAAATTCACCATTTGCGTCCCGAAATTAGTTTATGAGGAAATACACAATATAAGTGAATCTTATGCTTAGTGAAATTGAAATGGTACAATAAACGAACTAATTCTAGTCGACATCGGTGGAGTCCAATCCGTGTCGGGTGTGAGATAGTTATCCACTTTAGACAATGGATAAAGGGTTGTGCAAGATGACCGGGTCACGTGTTACGTATGCCTGAACTCCGATTACCATGACGCATAATGCTGACTAGTGCTGGGGATGGTTGCAAGAAAGTTGGTGCGGCCAAACCAAAACGTGGAATCAGTCCATAAAGTCACTAACTTCTAGTCCTAGCCATGTTGGTAGATGCAGACTACTTGGTTGGGGTCCGCGCGACGATCGTAACCAGTGGTGTGTGCTACTTATATTGACATAAGTAGTATATGATGTTAGTCGTAAACAGAAGGTCTGGCAGCAGAGAGACAAGAGGATCGAACAGTAAAGAATGGAAACAGAATGCAATTTGTATGAAAATGCAAGAACATTGAATTGTGAGTCATTTTGAGACAATCGATGGACATTTTGTAAATTACGTATTTACTTTATGATTGTTAGATTTTATTAACAAGTCCTGTAGTTTTGTGTTGAACACATTCGATTGTCCCCACGAGTGTTCTTTTCTCTACAGTTGGAGACTTTGGGTGACATGATTTAGAATCGGTCACAATGGTTTAGGTGGATACACTCTTTGTCTTCCCTTTAAACTTTCAGATTAAAATTTCTTCATATCTTTCTTCCTATACTATATTCTTACACAGTCTTTTATATAATACCACCATTGAATTAACTACTTCTATGAATCCGGCGTTCATCTTGCTGTGCTAATGAGGTGTGGCAACTTGGACTGACGCATATATATGCCTGGTCCTACGTTGTAGCTGACTGACTGTGCAAGATCATGGATCAGTTGAAGTTAAACATTAGCACCGTTGAAT